CAGGAATTAAAAGCCTTTATTATGTTAGGAACAAGATGAAAAAAAAAAAAATTAAGAGCAATCAGTGCTCTCATAGTGACAGTATAAAATAGGTTAATTAACACCTTTCCTTTAAAATTAGCATTCCTGAACAGATTAGATCAGAGTCACCAGAAACCAAGAAATGGCCCAAAACAGAGAGACAAAAGAAAACGTAAATTTCCTCAGGAGATGAAGGAAAGCAAATCTGTAGATAAGTAAGGCTTATAATAGTTAAATATTTTATTGGTACTTTATATAAGCTTGGGAGAGTTTTCTTTAAACCTTTTCTGTAAGGTGAATACTGTATTATAAATCTTTTAAGATTTAATCTCATTAATATACTTAATGTTTTCTGCAAGTTACATTTCTTATGGAAAAAGCAGAGGTAACTGGGTGTATTAAAAATTCTGTGTTAATTTCACTTAATAAAACTTGCCTACCCAATAGATCCTAGACACTCTCAACAGGCATCTTGTGACTAGTCAAAATGCAAATAGAAAAAAATGAACAATAGGAAGATCTAGTTACTCAGAAGACTTTGAACCCATTATACTATTTTAATGACGAAAGTAGCAACTCATTACAGCATTTAGCAATTCCTCTGAAACAGCAGATTTCAAAAAAAAGTATTTTGAAAAAATTTCAAATGTACAGGAGTTGTAAGATTAGTACAAATGACTGCAGTATACTCTTCACCCAGATTTACCAATTAATGTTTTGCTCCATTTGCTTGTTCTGTGTGCATGTGTTTTTTTCCTAAACCATTTGAGAGTTAGCTACTGACGTCTTGCCCCTTTAACCCTAAATATTTTGGCATGTATGTTTTCAAAATAAGGACATTCTCTTTCACAATCACAGAATTATCAGATTAAGAAAATTTAACACATACAATTCTATTATCTGGAATACAGCCCATATTCAAATTTCACCAATTATCCCAATAATGTTTTTCATGACGACTTTCTCCCCTGATGCAAGATCCAATCTAGGATCATGCATTTCATTTATATATCAAGTCTCTCTAGTCTCTCAATCTGGAACAGTTCTTTGGTCTTTTTTTACTTTCGTGATTAATAGTTTTGAAGAACTGTCAAGTTGGTTTGTCTGAAGTTTCATCATAGTTAGTTTCAGGTTATAATTTTGGGCATGAAGAACAGAGAGGTGCTGTTGTGTCCTTCTAGGTGCCTCACATCAGGAGATGATCACCTAGTCAAGGTGGTATCCCCCAGGTTCTCTGTAAAGTTATCATATTTCCCTTTTTAATAATAAGTAATCTATGAGATACTTTGAAACTATGTAATATCCTGTTTCTCTTTAAATTTTCCATTGTTGATTCTTCCATAAACCAGTTATTACTATGATTGCAAATAGTGATTTTTCTAACTTCATTATTCCTTCTACATTTATTAGTTGGCATTCTACTGTAGTGAAGAGCATCTCCTCTATCCCCCTTATTTATTCAGTGGGTTATAATCCATTATTGTCATTATTCATTCTGAACTCATATTGTCCTATTTTTAGCTTGAGCTGGTTCCTATGTTCTGACATTTCATACTATAAAAGGTATTATTCTAACCTTAGAGACAAAAAAAATGAAGTGGCTTACCATTTCATAAAGGCAAGTCAAAGTTCACAGTAGAACTGGATGGCCTTTCGGCGGGAGCATTAACTAAAAGCTAGTTATAAAATTTATAATTGTTCCTGTAACTATTACCTATAACACTTCATAACTAGCACTTAGTTTAAAAAAAAAAAAACAGGAAGGGAAGGGAAGCTCTACGTTAACATAAAATAACAAAGTACTTATAACATTTCCTTTCAACACCATGGACCTTAGCATTTAAATCAAGTGAATTCCTAAAACCGTCAAGAGTTAAAATGATCTTAATGTTCATCATCATCATTATTAGATCAAATATATATTCATTTAATTCTATGACTATCTTATGAGGTAGCTATTGTTATCCCATTTTACCAATGAGAAAACAAAATTTAAAAGATAAGTCAAAGAATAACATGTCAAAGGCCCATACCAAATGTATGGATTATACCCAAATCCAAGAAGTATCCACCATTTGGCAGGGGGTAAGAAATGAAAGAAAAAAGTAAAAAGAAATGGATGAAACCACTATTAACTTGGAACTCTGTTAGATACAGATCTCTGGTACCTGGAAAAATCGTAAAGTCATTGCCATAAAGAGCATCAGCTATAGACCTATAACCAGTGATAAGAATGGAATTCACGCCATGAAGAGTTTAATAAATGCTAATTTATTTAGAAGGTTAGGGGAGTGAGTCTCTAAAAAAAGAAAATGGTATTAAACTCAAGTCACAGGCACAAAAAGTAAAAGGTAAGAATGACAAGTACTTGCAAATTTTCATCAACAATAGAACGGCTGTCTAATAATATGTCTATTATACCTCGATTAAAAAAAAAAAAAAAAAAGGCTGTGTAACCAGAAGTCCAATGGCAGGCTGGGCTGCAGAGGCTGCATGGGGTGGTAAAGAGTACTGGACCAGAATCAAGGGATCTAGGTCCCTAGTCTCTGATCTGTACAACTTCCTCCCAAGGGCCTTCCAGCTGCAAAATTTCTTAAGATACAAAACAAAACTACAGTTACTACAGGTGAGGCATCTCGAGTGCCATCACTGAGATCAGTCTAACAAAATGAAGTTATTTCACCCCATAATGTTACAAATTCTTAGTTTCTGCACTTCTTCAGAAACAACAGGAAAAAAAATCTAGAGGGATAAGCAGCAGATGGGTTAAAATATTTGTTTTTAATCTCTTATTTTTCAGAGCTTCAAAATATGCGGTTTTCACAGCATTCTAAAATTTGAGAAATGCATATTTCTCAAAAATATTACGTCAACCATAAAAATATGCAAGAGGACATGAACAGGTAATATGTACAAATGTAGGTTGTCATGGTACAGCTGGAAATTGTAAACAACATTTTCAAGTACTACTCTTTCAAAACACATTGCTTTATTCTCGTTTCAATAAATATCACTTCATTTCTTCCTCTTATCAACCCTTTCAACTGCCTGAGTCCTAATAGAGCAGACAAGACTACAGAACCCTGCTTTTAAATACATAACTGCATAAGATGACACCAAACTCAAAACAGTCAACTCTCTAGAGATAAGACGGGCTCCAGCAATTTAGCCTTGCTAGTAAATACATATCCTCAATTCACTTTGGAGTCTGCCACGAGCCAGGTACAGGCAGACTTGGAACATACTGACCAATTTCTCTCCTTTAGAATGGTGTTTCTTTAAAACATTTTTGTAATTCAAATGGAACTTTAGAAATAATAGAAATTTACTGATTAAAAGCCTCCTGAAAACAACTTTCCCTATTTTCCTGGTTAGCTCTAATACCATCAAAAGCTGACAGATACTGAAATGGTTACATGGCCCTGGTTACCTCTTTTCATGAGTATAATAAATAAATAAAATATTATCCTTCTTTATTTTACTTAATCAGGCTCTCCTCAGTGCTCAGTATAACTTAAGTCTCTAATGTGTCATTGAAAAAATCAATTTAAAGCAAAAATTTATTAACTTTTGGCTTCAATGATGTGTAAATTTTCTAAGACCATTCAATAATCCAGTTGCTTTCCACAGATATTTAAATAAACTCACACTTAACAAACCAGGATATTTGTTGATTTTGGAATTGGCCTTTTACTAAAATAAGCATCTTTAAACACCTATAAATCCAATAGAAAAAGAAAAAAAGTCTTCCCTATCCAACAATTCTACTTCTGGGAGTATATCCAAAAGAATTAAAAGCAAGGTCTTAAAAAATATTTGCACACCCATGTTCACAGCAACATTATCCACAATAGCCAAAGGATAGAAGCAACCCAAGTGTCCATCAACAGATAAATGGGATAAACAAAATGCTCTATATGCAAAAAATGGAAGATTATTCAGCCTTAAGAAGGAAGGAAATTCTGACACAGCTATAACATAGATAAACATTGAGGACATAATGCTAAGGGAAGGAAGCCAGTCACAAAAGAACAAAAACTATATGATTCCACTTATATAAGGTAACTAGAATGAATAGTCAAATTCAGAGAGACAAAAAGTAGAATGGTGGTTGCTAATGGTTGGGGGAGAGGGAAATGGGAAGTTGCTGTTTAATGGATATAGAGTTCTACTTTTTCAAGAAGAAAGAGTTCTGGAGATTAGCTGCAGAACAGTATAAATGTACTTAGCACTACTGAACTGTACCCTTTAAAAATGGTTAAGATGTTAAATTTTGTTGTGTATTTTACCACAATTAAAAAAAAAAAAAATCTTCTCTGTGTCCCAAAGCCAAATCCTACAATTGAAAGCCCTTTTAGTTTTTAACTAACTACCGCATTACCCATCATTTCAACAACACTTGGTAGGGTGAGAAGTCAAGGGAGACAAATAGCTCTTTTTGCGTACCTTATGCCACTTAATGACAGGTGTGTTGTCTGAAATAATTAGCTTTTAAAAAGGAACAGATTTAACTCTCCTCTGGAACTGGGTAGTGATCTCAGTTTCCCTTCATAAACTTCTTGACAGCTCAATGTCCTCACATCTGTCATTGTTTGGGAGACTGATTCCAAGAACACAATTGCTTCAAGGACTAGGCAAAAAATTTATTCTGGTTCATGGGACAGATCTGAACCCATCTGCTTTCTAATTGAAAGCTATATTTGAATCAGTTTTGTTCCATCACAGTACTGAAATGAAAGCAATACAATCATATAGTATTTTCCTTCTTTTTGTCCATGTAGTATACATGATTACAGGAAATGCAAATCAATTAAAGGCATGAGAGCATCCTCAGAAACAGGGTCTTTGCAGACTGTAGAATCTGCTACTTTCATTATTTATTTATTTTTTAGACCACTGTCTAAAAATTACTCTGTTATATGGTTTCTTTTAGAATTACACAGAGGAAAAATACTCCCATGTTGTAATAACCAACTTACCTTAATCTTTTTTTAAGTTGTAAACTGTCATGGATGATCCTTTTAACAAACTCTAATTCACCTCCTTCTGCCATGATCTCTGTGATACCTCCTGTATTTACAGAACTAGGTGGAGGTCTCCGAGGATTTCGAGAATTTACTCCCTGAATAACAAAAATAACAAAAAATCCTGGTGAAAAATTTTTACACCTTAATTGACTGTAATCTAGTTCTAAGTAAGAATGCTTAGAAGTAATTTTAATTTCCAAATATCATGCTACATTTAGGATTTAAAAAATCATATAATCATTGAACATTACATTTTAAACAACTGTATTCATGCAAATATTCCTTCTCAGGGTCTTTTACTTTCCATCCCTGTTTGTGATTAAATACATAAAAATTTTACCTTTCTATTTAGCCAGTTCTGGAACTTTTTCTCTAAGTTTTCTGTCTTGGAATCATGCACAGAAAATATTCCACCCAAAGATTATATAAATATTTACATTTTCTTCTAGTACTTTCATGATTTTACTTTTTAAATTTAAATATTTAATACACTCCTACCTCACACCATATTAAACGATAACTCAAATGGATCAAGATCTAAATATAAAAGCTAAACTATAAAACTCTTAGAAGAAAACATAAGAATAAATCTTCATGATCTTAGTTTAGGCAATTAAATTTACCTTCTAAGTGGGTGAACTATAAGGTATGTGAATTATAAAGCTGTTATAAAAAGATATCTAGTTCTGATGCTAGTAATAGTATATTTCTTCATCTGGATGCAGGTTCTACAGAAGTGTTCATTTTGGAAAATCCATAGTTTACACTTATGGCACATGCAGTTTTATGTATATATGTTGTATCTCAAAATTCTAAAAAGAACCAAAAAATCTCTAGGATGTGGCTATTTTAGTTCTTATAATTCATCTGCATTGAAGTCTAAAATTAGATTTCTTAGATCCTGTTCACTTTATGTTCTAATCTAGAATGGCGGTATTGCTAATAAATTTATCCAACTCCTTCTTCCCCCTTCAAAAACTTTAATCTGGAATTAATTTTGTTACGAGGTATGTAAATGATAGTTTTAGGGTATCTGAATGATTCTGAAAACAATTTATTCTTTCAAAGCCTTAAGCATAAACACTCCCTTATTTCCTTCTGATTAATGTTAATTTCTATTATTAGGGAATTAAATAGATGAAGGAAAACGGGTTAAATTAATATTTTATAGCGCTGAGTTTTTTAATAGGCTCATTGTTTTTCTTCAATGTATAGAACTCTTTACACATTCATAAGCAAATATATTTTTCATCTGAAGTTGGAAAGACTAAATTAGACATTTGTTTACTATTAAATGAGAGTAAATGGACTTATTGGCTTAGAGAGGAGTAAAAATAGTGACCTCCTGTCTAAGCCGATAAGTCCAAGTCAGGAGTGGACTGTGACCTAAGTTGGTCCAATCAAAAGAAACTTAAATGTTTAATGGTTTGGGGAAGAAAACAACTGTCTCCTCCCTTTCCCTAAATATTACTCTGCCACAAGTAAACCAGCCTGAGTACAAAAACAACCAAGGGCCAGATCAAAGCCAAGAGAAACCTGGAAAATAAGAGCCTCAGTTTTGATACTACTATGAACTCCTTGATCAAATTGTTTCTGAAGTCCACATTACTGCTAGATTTCTCAAATATGTAATCTAATAAATTTTTTTGTTAAGTCAATCTGAATTGGGTTTTCAGGTGCTTGACATCAAAAGTGTGCTGATACAACTTCCAATATAAAAGTTGTTCTTTGCTCTTATTTTCGCTAACAAGGTAAATTTTGATACTCGATTATTTTAAAGAAGAAGATATTTTACCTTGGCCTCCAACTGATTGGCAAAAAAAGGAGGATTACACATGCAAAAGTCATAGACTATCTCAGATTCTTCTTTAAGAGCATCCATCAGGAGCGTCTTCTGTGGTACTTTTACCACTAAGAGAAAAAACAGAAGTGTTAACTACTATTAATGCTGTGGTAGTTTTTCAAATATGTCCATGAATTCTTTGATACCAGTTGCTACAAAAAATGTGATTTCTCTCTCCTTAAGTGTTGGCTGCTGCACTCACTAACTCCCTTTTACTGAATAGAATATGATGGAAGTGACAGGGTATAACTTCTGAGGTTAGGTCATAAGAAGCAATGTGGCTTCTTCCTTGTCCTATCTCTTGAATTACTTGCTCTAGGAGAAGTCAGCTGACATGCTGCACGGATGGTCAAGTAGCCCCAAGAAAAGATCAACATGGCAACGAACTAAGGCTTCCTGCTAACAGCCATATAAATGAGCCATCTTGGAAGCAAATCTTTACTTCCAGTCAATCCTCTAGATGATGGCAACCTCATGAAAGACTCTGAACCAGAACCACCCCAGTAGGCCATGCCCAAATTCCTGACCCAATGAAACTATGAGATAACAAATGTTTATTGTTTAAAGCTGCTAGATTCTAGAGTAATTTGTAATACAGAAATGAAGAACTAAAAAATGCATTAACAATATTAGTATTTCCTCTTGTAATAATACACTTAACACTAGTAAGAAAAGCCTATTGCTTCCATAAAGAAACATAGTCTTGTTAATGAAAAAAAATAGCCATTTATATATAAAATAAGCACAAAAATAAAAAGTAACTGATCATTAAGGGAATTTGACTATTTATAGTATAGTTCCATGTACTGAAATAAAAAAGACGGTATAGTTTAATCAACAGTAAGTAGAGTTTTCTCTTTTAAAGTCATGGTGACTAGGTTACTTCATATACAGAGGAGTCTCATTGGCTCCTAGGAGAAGTAGAGGGTTAAGCGACTGGGGGCCTCTGGTCCAACATTTTCATCAACCAATCAATACATAACCTTATTTGATGTATGTTTCTGTTTAAAGAAACCTTATTTGATATATATTGCTGATTCATTAACAATGAACTCATGGTCAACAGTACAATAACTCATGTCTGAATGAAGCTTATCTAACACTTGTATTTTTTCTGTAAGGCACATCACAGCCTTCCTATAGTAAGGAACACTATATAGCACTTAAGAACGATGCTTAGGGGCCATTTTAAACAATAAAATCCCCAATAAAAAGCACAGAAGTATCAAAAAAGGCACTAAATAGACCGTAAAAAGGACCCTTGTCTACAGTACGAAAGCTGAAACAAGATGGCAGAGCATACGGCCTTGTTCAACTTCAGCTGGGAACATGTGCATTGGGTGACTCAAAATTTTTTGCCACTCTGCATTTGTCTATGGATGACCACCAAAGTATCACGACTATTGATTTTGAGGTTAAAAATAACCCCAAGTAGGCAAGTTCACAAATACAAAATCCATGAATTATGAGGAATTATAAAATATTTACTATATTTCTTTCTGAATTAATTCTGATAACAAAACAGCAAACCCAATTACAACGTACCATATTTTTTTTAATTACCAAAGAATATATTAAAAAAAAAGATAATGAGATGTGTTAAATTAGAAAGACAGGTTAATAAAGAAAGCTTGAAAAGGATATTTATTCTGTAGGACTAACCTTTTATAAGGTCAGATAAGTTATTCTGTTCCACATTTTTCTTTGCATAGTTGAAGCACATATCATCTACTTCTGTTGCAAGGAAATACCAGCCATTTAAGGTACTACCAAGTAAAGGATAGATGCAGGATGCCCCCGTACCTAGTAAAATGAAAAGTTAAAACGTGTTACATACATCTAAAGGAGAGGTGAGAATAATAAGCAAAAACACTGTTGTTCTCTTAGAATTCTTATAGCTGTAACAGTTTAAATCACAAGCTGGTATCTGATTATATACATACTGTAGCTACTGGGTTCTCTAGTTGTTTCATGTGTTAGTCTTACCTCATAATTAGATTCTAATTTCCTAGAGAATAGAAATCTTGCTGTCGTCTTCTTCATGTTATATGTAAAGTCAAGTGTGCATGTCTGGTAATCAAGGAATACATGACTGATTAACTGAAAATTGTCAAAACCATTTAATTTGTTATATAAGTCTTCATTTTAAATCTCACACAAAACTTGATTTTCTTAAAAGAAATGAATGCTATTTGTTAAAACACTACAGTGATATCTTAAAATAGATCAATGTATAGCCATTCTCCTATAGCAGACTATAAAAGGTATAAAATTTTTATGGTATTATAAAAATATAAAAATCACCAACTTCCCACACATTGTTACCTGAAGGAAACCAGAAATAAAATTTTAAACTAAAAAGAGAACTCATTTCTTAGATGTGGAGACATGGAAAGTCATTTGATCCAGATCTAAAACATTAACCATTGGCTTGTCCACCACAGTTTAAAGCGAGACATTCAGAGGCAAATCACTCTTCGACAACTAGGCAAAAATCACACTTTGACAACTAGGGTTTAATCCTAAACTTGTACGTAGAAACCCTAATCACTTACTGGACTACATGCTAATCACAAATACTGTTTTTTCAACCATTGACTAATCTTGGCCAATAAGATCTTAAAGAACACATTCAAGAGAAGAAAAGTCAGTGTTTCTTCTGAAAGCCTATAGCCTTCAGCCCATACCAGTCACTGCAGGCCTGCTTTCCCTAGGCCTGTCTAGCCTTTGAAGGATCTGGCAGGAAGAGTGGAGGCTAGAGATATTCCTAACCCAGATGAAACCCAGGCTCATCTTACTGCTTCCTTATTAAGAATTCTGAACAGGTTAGTAAAAGACACAACGACAAATGATGGCCAGAACATTTAAGCTCTTTGACAGTCAGAGTGATTGCTACACTTTCCATCATGTTTACCTAATAGCTAAATAGTATCATCCAGGTCTTGATGATACTGGACAAACACCTCCTTGGGCATGTGTGAGGTGGTGAAGGAAGGGGTGGTAAAGGGTACTCAGGCTCTTCTCAGAGGCCACAGTTACTTAGACCCTTACCATTCTGGCAAGCCAGAGTCATTCAAAATAAGGAAATTTAAGTAGCGCTTTCAACTCTGTAGGAAAAAAAATCCAGACCATATCTCAAGCCAGTGGTTCTCACAAAACTGCCTCTCTTTCCATATTTCAATTTCATTTAAAAGGAAAAAAAAAGTACACTTTCCTCCAGTTACCCAAATATCAGGTACCTCCCAAGGTAAAAGAACTGTCCTCCGTCAAAAAAAAAATCAAGTTTCTCAATTCTTTTTTTTTTAGACAAGGCAATCCTTGGTTGACCTCACAGATTGCAAGGACCTTGTCATCTTACAATCCCTTATTTTTATTTGTTATGCCTACAGCACCTAGTCTTCCTAGGTGGTCTCCCATCCAAGCACTAACCAGGCCCGACCCTGCTTAGCTTCTGAGATCAGACAAGGATAGGGCTTGTTCAGGGTGGCATGGCCATAGACCAAGTTTCTCAATTCTTAAAACCAAAAGACTTGCATTCGAACAATCCCAATCCCCTCGGAAAGCTAAATGACATTTTAAAATGGGTAATAATCCTTGTAATGATAAATACAAATGGCAAGTGTATAATCATAGAATTAGAGCAAACTGATGGAGTCTGGAGGAAGAATCTATATAAAACTCTAATTAGAATGATGTGATTTCAGCACCAGTGGCCCTTATGAAGAGCTAAAATCCATTAACCTCCTGTATCCTCAAGTGTTATTTTAAAGGTTTGGGGCATAATTAAAATAAATTAGTACCAAATAGGCTCTCAAGCTTTTTAAGTTTTCTATAACCCATCAGACAATCTTCTCCCATGAACATAAAAGGGCAGAAGCTTTGTTAAACCCCACTATTTTTATATAGTGCTTAGCTCATATGGGGTATTTGGAATTTCAAATGTTGAAAGAATGATGTAATTATCAACATTCAAAAAATTATTTATTAGATACCTGCTATGTACTAGAAACTTTACTAGGCCTTGGGATATTACAGTAAGCAAAAAAGTAACAGGCTCTACACTTTGCAATCTAATGGTAGACAAAGACATTAATCAATCAGACAAGTGAATGTACAGTTAAAACCTAAAAAAAAAACCATGAAGGAAGAAATAATAAAGTAACAGATTGGATGAAATTGCCTAGAGGTAAGGTGCTGAATAAGAAAAGGACTAAAGACTGTGCTTTAAGAAGTTGTAATATCTAATGGCCAAATACAGGAAAGTGAGCCTGAAAGGGGGAGAAGAGTAACTAGAAATGAAAGAGGAAAACTGGAGGAGTCTGGTGTCACGGAAGCCAATGGAGGAGAGCACATAAAGGAGAAAGGGGTCAATAAATGCTGCTGAAAAGGTAATGTATGATGAAGACTGAAAATGCATATGAACATTTAAGTTAAACTTCACTACTATCTACAAATTATGTTTCCTATTAACTATACTACATTTAGAAATAGAGTCGCAGAAGTTTTAATTCAATTTTTCTCATCAAGGACTGGTAAAGGCCACAGGATTAAAATAAAAAATTAAACCCTTTCAAATACGAACACTGGCTATGACAAACATACAATACATTTATAATTTGCAAAACATACCCTGGCTTCATTTCCTTCTATATATCTACTTACTCTCATAAATAAAACTGGACGGTCTTCTCTATTGTAGAAATTTACAATTAAGAAAACATCTTACTTCACCTAACTGCCTTTTTTCCCTCCCTTTAATTTTGGATTAAATATCTTCTACAAATAATCATCCAAGAGGTTCCTGAAAGTATTCAGTCCCATATGATCTTTTATTAAATAGCCATCACAAAGTCCCAGTATGGGACTATGTTACTAACAGCGAATAATTCAGAGTAAAAATAATACCCAATAGACGCAGACATCAACATGACAATCTGAAAAGCTGAGAAAACAAAAGCCTCAATTTCATTCTGCCTCTCTTATTCCTTTGCTCCCTCTTTGGTGCTGACAATCCTCATGAGAAAGTAATGGCAGAAAAGCCCAGGTGTAGCAAATAACACCAATATCTACAGCTAGGTCCTTTCATACAACAAATATCCAAAAGAGAAGTTTACAAAGAATTCAACCTTGCAAATTTATGAAAAAAAAGAATTTAAAACCATATACCTATGTCAATTCCTCTTCGAAGAGTAGTTTTGTCGGAGTCCTGATGACCGATCAGATCTTCCACCCAATGAATATAGTTGAGTCTCAAGGGAACTGTAGGAATTAGTCTCTCCAATGGAATATCAATAGAAAGTCCAAAATCTTCTTTTAGGAGAGTACAAGTCAGAGCTCTGACTGCTTCAGGGTCTTTAAAATTAAGACTGAGGAGTGAAGAAAAAGAAGTAAAAACAATTAGTAAAATTTGCTATGCTCTACAAGCTTTATGGCAGTCAGACAATACCGAACACCTACTGGAATTTCCTAGGAGATCACACAGAAATAGATGTGTAGAGTATTCAGCACAGTGGGATACTGACAGGGGTGTTAAAACAGTCACAGCATATGAAAGGCAGTATAAACTTCCACCAAAAGCATTGCATTTTCATACATGGGGCAGAGGACAACAGTGCTTCTATTCCAGTCTCCTTACTTAGTTACGTGGCTTAGGACAAGCTGAGCACTGTTTTCTCAGCTGTAAAATGGGGTAACAGTACCTATATCATAGTGCTGCTGCGAGATAATCTGTGGAAAGTACTTAGCATAATAATGGCCAGTACAATGTAATTATTTTAGAAATGCTGGCCATGTTTACTATTATAATTAAAATGATTTGACATTAGCATTCTTTGAAAATCAAAATTAATAAAGGAGGGGCCCAGTGCAGGAGGGAGCAAAGCAGTGCCAGCAGCTAGCAAGATGCAGCACTGAGGCTTCCACCTCACTGCTCTCCTTACCCTGCCGCATTCATTTCTGCAGTGGCCAAAAAGAAAGACCAAGTGAAGAAGAGCAGCATGGGGAGCCAGTGCACAGAGTAGACCTGGGAGCCTGGTACCCCCAGCACCAAGGACTGTGGCACAGGTTCCCGTGAAGGTACCTTTGGGGCCCAGATTCAGAGCATCTGGTGCACAGTGCTATGCAACTAGGAGTTTAGAGCTGACTGCAAGTATAAGTTTGAGAACTGGGGATCATGTGATGGGGGCTCAGGCACCAAAGCCCGCCAAAGCACCCTAAAGAAGGCACACTACAATGCCCAGTGCCAGGAGACCATCTGTACGACCAAGGCTTGTACCTCCAAGACCAAAGCCAAGGCCAAAGCCAAGAAAGGGAAGGGAAAGGACTAGTGGCTAGGCCTGAATGCCATAAAGCCCTGGCCTATGCCATAAAGACCTTCCCACACGCCCAAGATGTAATCCCTAGTGCCTTTGTTACTCATCAGCTTTATCAATTTTGCCCTGCTCTTTCTTTTCGCTCCCCCACACCCACTCCCACCCCAACTCCCAAGTGTCCAAAGTCAAGAAGGACAAGGGATTCTGTGCAGCTTGAGCCTTCCCCCAAAGGTATTTGATTCCTGTGCCCTTACTGTTCTTCCCCACAGTGATGCCATTACTAAGAAACAAATAAAACCATCATTTTTCCCAATAAGCTTTTTTTTAAATATTTAAAAATACTTAAAAGTAGAAAGCAAAAAAAATGTTTAATAATGAAAATAGGATATGATACTTAATACAACAATTACAGACATCGAGTATAAGATTTTAGCAGCTTTACTGAGGTATAATTTATATACTACGAAATTCACCTAAAGCATACAATTCAACAGTTTTTAGTATATTCTTATAGTTGTGCAACCATCAGCACAATCCAATTTTAGAACATGTCCATCACCCCAAAAAATAAACCTTATGCCTAGGAATCGTAAGTGATTCCTTGTTTAAACTTACCTTAGCTCTAGGCAACCACTAATATACCTTTTGTCTCCACAGATTTGCCTTTTGTGGACACTTCGTATAAATTAAATCATAAAATATATGGGGTTTTTTGTCTGGATTCTTTCACTTGGCACAATGTTTATGAGGTTCATTCATGGTGTAGCATATAATCAGTATGCCATTCCTTTTTACAGCCAAGTAATATTCCATTGTTTGGATAGGGCATTGTGGTTTATTTATTGTATGGAAAACTACATTTATGGTTTGCTTATCCATTCACCATCTGATGGATATTTGGATTGATTCTACTTTTTGGCTATTACGAATAATGCTGCTATAAATATTCACACAAAAATCTTCATAAGAATATGTTTTCATTTCTCTTGAGTAGATACCTAGGAATGAATTATATAATACATTTAACTTTTCAAGAAACTTATGCCAATATAACTATTTTGTTGTTAAAACCCTGCTAAAGTGAAAATCTTAAAAAGAAAACCAACAGATTATATTTATAAATAGGGCAATAAAAAGAGAGCAGAAAGTCAGTAGATGGGACTGAACTGTGAAAGGTAAAACTAAGAGTTTTGAAACTGACTTCTTAGAATCCTAGCCTAAAATGGTGTGGTCAGATGGCTGGCTATCCTCAGACAACTTCTAATATGCCCCATCTTCTTTTCTGTTCCATTCTTGGTCCTTAAATGACCAATCACTTTGAAAAACTCAATGCCCCAATGCTTGAGCGTCAAGATAAAAGTAAGAATGCTCTATCCACCTGGTTACCATGGAAATGTCAGGCAGGTACCATGGACCCAAGCTCCTCCATCATCCATTGCAAAAAATGTTCTAGTATGAGAGTTCAAAAACCTGGATTCTAATCTTGGTTCTACAATCAACTAGCCATGAATTCAAAGTTACTTCATTCTTAAGTCTCAGTTTCTCCAACTGTAAAATTAAGGGATTAGACACAAAAATCTAAGGGTCATTCCAGGTAAAATTTTATGGCTCTATGAAGAATATTATGAACTAGTACTACGTAGTCATATTTATAGAGCAAATTATAGAGACATGAAACAATCAAAATAGTTACTAAAGACAGATACAATGACCAAACAACAGTAAATATTTCAATAATCCTCCACTCTGGCCCCGTTAACAAATTCTTTATTCTTCTGCTACATTGTATTAAACACACAACACTACTGAATACATATTAAAGAACATACAACCAGTGGCTATTAGATGATATGACCTGCTCTTTAAAAAATTATTTAGAAAAACACAACAGAACTTGTAAAAGGAGTAATGATGGGAGCAATTCAATTTCAGGAATATAGATCTGTTTGTCAAGCTACACAAAAATTGCATTCTATACTCAAATTTAACTGTTTCTTGCGACCTTTAAGAATGCTTCAGGGAATGCAAAAACAAAACAGAACAGACTCATAGACACGGAGAGAAGAATGAATAATGGTTGCCAGATGGGAGCAGGGTTGGGGGCCTAGGTGAGGGGAGACAAAGGCTTAAGAAGTACAAACTAGTAGTCACAAAATAGTCACAGGGATGTAGGGAACAGTGTGGCAGAATATAGTCAATAATATTGTAATAACTATGTATGATGCCAGTTGGGTACTAGACTTATTGAGGGGATCACTTTGAAAATTACGTGTCTAACAAATACGCTGTATACCTAAAACTAATGTATGTCTAACAACTACGCTGTGTACCTGAAACTAACGTAAATACTGAATATCAACTAAAAAATAAAAATTAATTTAAAAAAGAGTACTTCAGGGTACTAATCTATAGGGAAAACTGGAAGAGATTAAGAACAAAACTTTAATGTAATCTACAGAAAACAAAAAGAAAATAGTAATTGTGGAATCTCAAGAGATATACTAAGAGCCTAAAAGCAATGAAACTCCCAAAGCAATGAGCATTCCTGGTGGTTCCAGATCTTGGTTTCCAAATACCACTCCCCACTAAAAGGAATTGGAGTTCTTTGGCTAAATGGCTGTTCCAGGTTTAGAGTAATCAAAGTGCAAGATGAGTCTGGAATATTCTGTTGTATCAGAAAATAGAACATTCTCAAAGAAAGATGAGGACAGTCAGAAGGATACAGACCAACTTGAAGGGGCACCCACAGGCCAAATCTGGGACGATGTGAATGGGTGGCAAAGGATGATAGCCCATAGAATAAAAGAAGTCCTTGAGTCCATATTTACATAGATTAATAAAATGCAGGAGAAAGGACACCTTTTACTCACAGTAAAATGGCAACAAATGTAGAAGTAATAAAGGAAATAGAAAATTACATTTGGCAATTACCATGCTAGTAATTGTTTCAATTAAGAATCACCAATGGATGTTAAAAATAGTAGGTAAAAGTTTTATGAGAAACAGAGTACTACATAATCTCAAAGTGTTTCCCCACAAATTATCAATTATGAAGGAGAAAATATTAACTCTACAATGAAGAAGTCTGATGGATACCAACTTAACCAAGTGATTAATGTTAAAGCACTAATCATGGGACAAACTGACATCATATGTTTCAATGATACATTGGAAAGGACAAGAGGACAGAGAAAACAAGACAAAAAAGCATGTAAAATGCAATGGAATTCAAGAGTGAAATGACGGTGATGATTACACAGTCTTATCAATATATTTTAAACCACTGAACTATACAATTTTAAAAGGTGAATTTTATAGTATCTGAACTATTCTTCAATAAATAAATGAAATTAAAGTAAATAAGAAGTTTTAAAAATTAGAGAAGAAACAATATGGAGAGACAGACAATGGAGACCTCTCATGCTCATAATTGGTGTTGCTAAATAAGAGAACCAAAAGAAAAAGTAGAACAAAGAAACATCCAAAGATATGATTCAAGATAATTTTCTGAAAATAAAGACTCACTGTGTCCCTAGAAAAACTGATACAGAATTAGCAACACCAACACATACCCTAGAAAAGTTACCAGACTTCAAGGATTAAGAGGAAAAATTCTTTAGACATCTAGGCAAAAAAAATTGTATCACTTATTGGGTGGAGAAAGGGTAGCAGAGTAAAGGAGGCTGGCTTTAGATTCCCACACAGTACTATTTAATAGCAGAAGACAAAACAACACTGACCTCAAAGCCCTTTTGGGGAAAAAGAATGTTACTCAACAATTTTATACTCAGCCAAATTACTCTTCAACTATAAGGACAACAGATAAACATTTTGAACATACAGAACTCAAGGAACATCGTTTCCATGACCCCTCTGTGAAAAAATTCCTAATGGAAAAAGTTCAACCAATCAAGAGACAAATGAAACTATGACACAAGGACTAGCAGTGAGTACTGAAACGATTTAATCAGAGAGCTAGGATTAAAACACCTGTGAACTGTGGCTACATAACAGAATGTAAATGTTTGTGAACCATGATAATGTACACATAATTA